CTTTGCAAACATGTCTCTCCGCGTTTCCTAAGGTGTACAGGGGGGTCGGGGTGGTCGGGGGTGGGTCGGTGCGGGTACCGTGAGCGTCGTCCTGCCGGGGCCGGGCGGGCCGCCGGCTACACCTCGGTCTCCAGCACGGGCCGCGGCTGCCAACAACATCGCTCTACGACGCGCGGCTCCGCGCCCCAATCGACACCGTCCTACGTACCAGCCCTAGCTTTACTAAAGACACGGGACAGACGCGGGCCGAGCCCACGCGACACGGGGCGTCCGTACGGCCCACGCACCGGCGTCTATTTTGTTCAGCTTTGTGTCAGATTGGCCCATTCGACCACATTTTGATGTTTTGTATAGTGTCAGATTGTGGTAACACATTCATTTATGCCAAGATGTGCAATTTTTTTAAAATTATTAGAATTTGAATATTAGGCAATTTAAATTCACTTAGTTATTTTTTTTATTATTGCAATGAGTTAGATGCATAAGGGCTTTAAGTTTCAGTTACTGGACCCATGAATTTCGTGAGCGAACTAAAACATACTTTAACTAGACAAAAAAGAAACAGATACTCGAAGAGTAATCATTATAGAGTTGGTAGAGAAATAAAATCCCCGTTAGTTCGAGAATGGTCGGCACGTCCCACGTCTGTCCCGGACAGGCCAACACGCAGAATAGACCCTTAGAGAAAACAAAATAAACAATAGAATCGTGTGTCTGAACTCGTGTCGTTTGATGCGTGTCTGGCGGCCGGAGCCGGTGTCACGTGATAAGAATATGACTCGTAAGAGTGCAAACCCAATAAAACAAAACACAACAGAAGATGAAATGAGACAGATTACAAATGAAAATAAAAAAGAAAAACACGGGGAAGGGGGGTCGAGTCGAGACCTTGCTACCCTTGTACAATCTCTATACTAAACCTAAACAACGCTGGGGCCTACGAATGCTTGGAAGGGGACGAAGGGTATACTATGTCTTCTGATCACGATTAACACTTAAATGCCACTTACTTTTTATTAGATTTTTTATATATTCGTTTTTAAATTAGCCAGTACGCGGCTCGCGACGGCAAATCGACGATAAGTACTTAGTACTAGATCTAACATGCCATGTTAATTTTGTATTAAACAAACATTTATTCAGGAGCCAAGGATGAATCCTTTGTTTTAGTATTTTACGAACAGTCCATCGTGGAATTATAAACTTAATTGCTAATAATATATCTGTTACGCTACTATAGAAAGCCAAAATTAAGAAAGCTTGAATTGTCCAAAAAACTATACAGAACTAATTTAAATATTACATTACATTTCCACGATGTAACTGTAAAACAAAATAAACGTTAGAAAAGCTAAACGGGACCACTAAGAAAATGGTTAAATATGATTTTTATTTTATTAATAAAAAATAAGTTAACACTCTTTATATAATAATTCAATCTACAACATATTACTTACCGGACGGCCGCTTCGCGTAATCATTAATTACGCTATATACATAAAATAAATACGGACACTACATTAAGCCTAACAAAACGCAAAATAACACAGTGAAGGCGACTTGTCAACAGCAAGGCAAGGCAACTACTGATGACCCATCGCGCTGCCCGGTTCACTAAAACCCAATTACTGACATCACCCCGACATACCACTATGGGACAACATTCACAAACAAACGAAAAGAAAAACAACAAAAAAGAAAACAAAATTATAAAAGGAACACAAATCATCTGAACAAAAAAAAAACATGAGCACAGACAACACAACGGCAAAGGGGGGAGGTACGACGGTGTTATATTTGTTAGTATCGCGAGCACTCGGCATGCTCTCGCATTGACTACGCTCTAGTCTATACAAGACTTTATATATATATTTATTTTTTTAATCAATTCAAAGAAAAATCCACTCCACACTCAAATAAACGTTCCTTTCAACGGCAGTAACTGACCGAATCAAAAAAAATAAAAAAGTTAAAATGAACTGTATTAACAAAACAAGAACGATCACAATGCAACGATTAAAGTACGCGTAATGTTACTGCTCGAATTGACAATGGTAACGCTTGTTAGTTTAGCGCCGTGCGGCCGAGCCTTTCCGGTTTTCGTTATACCAACGGCGTTCATACAAACAGCTAGGTTGCTTTGGACATCATTAGCAAGGGGGTAAACGGGTTGGCGTATCACAAGCAAAAAAAAATAAAATTTACTATCCTTAAAAACTAAATAACAAAAAATACAGACAAGTAAAATAAAAAAAAATATAGTGAAAATAAAAATCAAACAGTCAGTATGACTCAGAGTAAAAAAAAGGATAGATATAGAAAGAGACAGTCATATTCATACCGCGTTGTGGTTCATGTTCAGTGGAATATTATACAAAATCTAATTAATCTAACGGGAAGTCATAGTAACTGTTTGAGGGAATATACGAGGGATAAGTAACATCGTCACAGCCTACTAAATAGAGCATGCCAATAAAGGTGTGTGTGGGGGGGAAAAGGGGGGGCGTACAGTCAAATTAGGCATTAGAAATTAGAACCAAATGAAATCAAACCGGGAAGCGTCAGAGGCCACGCTGCATGCCGGCCGCGTTTTACTACTCCCGATCTCATGACACGGAATAATAACACATATATAAATACATACGTATACATATATGGTGTATATATATATATATATAAGACAGTATTGAAGTCAAAGTGTAAAGATTCAAATGATAAAATAATAATAATCTACAGTCGAGAAGATGTCATGAAACCAGGCTACTAAAGGAAATAATGTGAAATAGTAATTTTTGGAATATATTATTCTAATGTTGCTCGGTAGCCAATTTTTTTCATTTCATATTAAATATTGTTTTTGTAACGGAGTTATTTGATTTCAATTTAAAAATTAGTGACCGAACAGTTTCTCTTTTAACTACTGTAAGTATGGGCCAAAACAATTTAGCATTATCTACGATTACTCTGTAAAGTGTTTCTCTGTGTAGGTATTAAAAAAATATACCTAGAATCAGAACAGAAGTAAAAGGAGAGTGAAATGAAAACCAAGGTGTGAAAATGAAACGTACAGTGGAAAATATGAAAAGAAAAACGGCAAAATGAAAAATTAACTAAAAAAGTAACAAAAAGTTATATCGAAAGTTTGAATTTATCATCGAATATTATCTGTGTATATATATATTTTTTTTATTTAAAAAATTTAAAACAGTTTCGAGTGAGCCGGCTTACCGAACGGACAAAAAAACAGGTGTAATAAAATGAATCAGCGTAAACTATACTTGTTCTATGACAATAATAACTTTTTTCTATAAATGGATGCATAGTAATATTAAAAAATAGTGGTTATTCGATTTGTATGCGAAAATAGTAAAAAGTATAATATATAAAATGGACAATATAGTCGATAAATAACTTAGCGTCAGGATGCCCAAGGTATCCGAAGTGTTGACCTGGTGGTATTGTTGATTATATTATAATTTATCACAACATATTATATTTATCAGCTGTAAACTCAAAACTCATCCCTCACTCATGAGCACGAACGTATCCTGCCACTCCTATATTCCTTTTTATTTTGTAACTATTTAAATTCAATTTTAATTGATGTTTTTTTTTATTTGACTTATTTTTGTTACGGTATGAGGCTTGTATAAGTTTTTTATTAATAACAGCCTCTACAGTAACATAGTTGTTTAATTTTGTCATAGCGTGCCCATCATGAATGCTCAGCCTTTAACCACTGCCTCAGTTCATGATGTCATCTATGAAATAAATGTTGACAGCTGTCATTATATATTATTACCAATATAACGGGAGCAAACGTTAAAATAACAGTGATATTATAACGGTTGTCAACATATCAATGCAAATAAAAGGCATTTCAAATTAACAGAGGCTTTTATAAAAATAAAAGTATAAAAATGCCTTTTATTTACAAATAAATATATGAAATTGATCTTATTTCCTGTTCCGATATGTAATGATAAGCTTATCACAAAATAACGGAACACATCCCAATAAGCGCCCACACAATTTCATGATTAAAATTTCAGAAAAAATTTTTTTAAGTAACACATTGTTAATCATGAAATATGCATAAACCTAACCCGATTAACATTTGAAAAGCGTCTCTTACCATTTTAACGCTCTGAAAATGTTAAAACAGGCTTTGAAATGATCTAGATGTACGTCAAAAATCCAAGGTGGACGAACAAATTTTAAAAATAGACTTAAAAACTTATTCATCCGTTTTCCCAATTAGGCGTAACTAGGGTTGCCCTTATCAAAATTTATTAGAAATTTTGTTAACATATCAATATGAATTATGATAATGATTAGATGTCATCCATTGTAATTTTTGAAGCCTATTTAAATATATTGCAATATCCTTTTGCATGATTTTAAAAGAAACTAAGCCAAACTTATATAACATAAAGCGATTATATCAAATTATTTATTTGTCATGTATAATTAAATGAAAAAAATATCACAATAATTTCGTTTACGCTGACCTAGTGACTATTAGGACTAGAATACGACATTCTGTTTTCGGGTTTTCGTGAGAGCTTACGTTTTGTCTAATCTGACATTCAAACTCATTCTCACACTCATCCTAATCGGATCGCAACTTCAAATGTCTTATTAATTTGTAAATACATATTGTTTTAAAAATACTCATCTTTCTATAATTTTTTTAAATCACATTTATTGCTAATATACATATTTATAGCTTACACACTCAAACATACCGATAATCATTCAAATAGATTACGCAACACTTTATCACAGAATTATCGTATCTAAATTCAAATAAATAAGTATTCATTTACATCTGGTTATGTTGGAAGTCATTAAAAGTTATGACATAGTTTATCTAGAACAGTCAGCGTAAAGCATGTCTTTTGAAAGGAATAATTAAGTAAATTATAAATAGAGTGTAAGAGACCCCAGTTACGCCCTATCATATTTCCTCATCCCCCTGGAGGTGGTACGATGCATACCTGCGTCTGCAGACGGGTAAGGCCCCTGATCCAGAGTATCTGTCCGGCACGCGGCTTCTTGTCCAGGTCCGCATCATAGTCCGGCCCTGGCTGCATCGCGTCCGGTTCCGGTTGCCCGCGGCCCCACCTGTATCGTGACCATACCTCTCATATAGCATAATGATATATAAGTCATATAAGTGGCCGATTTTCATTGGTCATCATTGGTGACAAGCACCCAATATAAATAAGTCGAAGTCGAGGATGAAATATTTCCGTGAACGGTTAAATATGTTGTCGATTAATGAATATATTCTCGTATATGAAAATTTGAATAAATATTCTTTATTTACATTTCACAATAGGGTTATTGACAATTGTAAACGACCATCTATTAATGTCCGCCATGTTATAACGTCAATTCTTTGTAATTCGTCATCGGACCCGTCTGTTAAAGACACTTTGTCAGTGTCATTATCAGAACTCACAAGTTTCGACAATAACACTGACAAAATGGTATGACTTCAAACGCGTTAGATTTTTGTGCGTAATCACGTGACACGCAGGCAAACTATTATAAACATAATATAAACTTTAAAAAAACGTGAATTCAAGAATAATAAATGATGACTATCTTTTATTTAATATAAGTCTATATTGATCACTGTCAATAACCCTATTGTTATTATATCACAGAGGTTAACAAACCTTATAGTGCTCATCCATAGTGAGGGGCTAGCGCGGTGGCGACGACGGACGTGAAATATAAGAAACCGGCGTTTGCGTCCATACTGTTTGTCATAAGGCGGTCTAGCGCGATGGGCGTGAGCGAGATAGCACGAGGAGTTTACAAACGTAACTACCTATACGTTATAGCCGTACTACGAGCCTAGTTAGCGAGCAATCTAAGGCAGGTTGCTGGTATCAAACCGCTTACATCTCATCGTCTGGCGTATTTATGATCATATTTTTTTCGTAGTTCGTTAAAGTATCGATAGCTTGATTTTGTTTTTATTTTTTTTTGTTTGAAACATGCTCTCATACGAGGTTACCCTGTGTTATGAGAGACGGGCTCCTCCTTAAATATATTTCTAATTACATCTAAGTGTATTTGTATAATAACAAAATAGGTAACGAAGTGACGATGTGTGTGTGTGTGTGTGTGTGTGTGTGTGTGTGTGTGTGTGTGTGTGTGTGTGTGTGTGTGTTTGTATTTGCACATCGTCCTTCTAATCAGTCTACTATATAGTAAAATATGCTAGTCAATGTTTCTAATGCCTGAGGTCGCACGCTAGCTCGCTAGTCACTGTGGCCACCGCGCGCCATCGCTACCGCATCCGCCGTAAGCCCTATCACCGTGAATTCACTGTGGATGCACACTTAACATGTTTTAAAACTTAACACAGGTAGCCGTAAAGTTCCAAATAATATAGCGCATGAATAAACATGACTCCTGTTTCAGTAAATATAAGGTGTAAAATACAACGCATTAGGTCTCACTCATACTCAACGGGAATCAGGCGCTTAGATATTGAATAATTCTGATTGTCATCATAATTCTTAAATGTAAAGTATTATCAAAATTCCGTTATTCATTAATTACATTTATAGTGTTTTAGATTCTATAGCGATAAACTTTTGTGACATCACATATTATTTTTTACATACAGTCAACTCGCGAATTCATTTATTCACTCGTTCACTATGTTATACTGACGTGAGGGTCTTGGGTATCTTGCGTGTGGGCACGGAGGTGACAAGTTGTCCCCACACGAGAGTGCCCGCGCCGAAGAATAAGCACCAGAGCCACTGCTCCATCGTCAGACCCGCCGTACTGAACGCCATGCCACCGAACTGGATTATCACCACCTAAGACCACATTCATCATCATCATCAGAATATTAAAGTTCGTTTCACATGACATGGGTACGGTGACGTATTTGTATTTCTAAATAATTAAAAACCATCGTTATAAAAAATTGGTTAACTGTGTATTGTATTGTTTATTTAAATTTGCATAATAAACTACAAATTAATTTTTCATAGCCATTCTGAATAATTACTGAAATTTAACCATCAAAGTTTAAATCATAAATACTTGTTACTAAAATTGGAAGGTTTTTTTTAATAGGGATTGCATCAACAAAATCTTTTTAATCGAAATATGTATTCGATAATAATATGTCAATTTTTAATTATTGTTGTCGTAAAAATTAAACTATACAATTTTATATTTTTTTGACTAGAGTTCATGTTGTTGATGAATAAATATATTTCTTAAATCCTGTTTTATACATTAACCTCAAAATCGATTATTTCTAATAGAAACAAACTCAGTAATATCGAGTTTTTGCACATGTATTTTTTTATTACCACATCACTACAAACTTCAAATCCCAACGTCACCGTAACCATGCTATGTGAAAAATACTATAACGTCCCTAGTGCTAAGACAATGGAAAATTGGCCAAAAAAACAGGTCAAGTTCAGTCGAATTTGTGCACGAAGGGTTATGTGCCATTATCTATGAAATATGCAAAAAGATCACGTTAGCTTCTGGTCATCCATCCTAAGACAGACTTTCGCTAAAGTTGCTGAACTTCTTTCTGCATTGGATATCGTTCACGTTAACCATTGCACCATCAAAGGTTACACGTAATAATTATTTATTAAGTTTGTCACGGCAAATATAAGACTGATGAATTTATTGTAACATGTAATTTCGTTTCTATTTATTTTAGTACTAGTGAACAAATTGTAGGTATATTGACATAAAAGGGACATTGACCTATATGAAAAAGATAAAAAAAAAAGAAAAAAGAAAATATTAAAACTTGTGTAGCACAGGCTACATGTTTTTCCTGTTAAATTTACATTTTTGTCAAGCATAAGCTTACCTGCGAGAGCGCTGTACCGATCCATATGGAATAGAATATAGGATTGGTGAACAATCCCTGGAACACATTCCTCTGGCCGTGGATCTTCCGCGCGTTGATCTCGTTGAAGAGGGTCATCATCACGAAAGTGTTGAATATTATAGTGAAGTGTTGTGTTGGTTCTGCGCCTAACGCCTGTCCCCGTCCAGACGGGATGTTGAGCAATCTGTCGCCTTGGGATTTTATACGATAACGTATTAATTATAAGGATAAATATTACCATCATCACCGATTGGTTACACAATGCTTTTGGAAAAAGTATTTTAGAATTTTCATATATTAAACCATACTAAAACATTATAAGATTACACGATGCACACGATGCACCGTCATGTCCGCCCGCGTTTCCGTTCTTGTCATCCACAGATTATAAATCGCAAGTTAATTTTGCCATCCATTTAGGTAATATTAGATTTTGACATCAAAAACAAATTTTAGGTTTGAAATCGCCACAGTATTGCTTACGTATTACTGTAATGTAACGTAATCGTACTCGAGTCAATAATGAGATATCGTATGGTCGCGCCCGAGAAAAGTCATGCGAGTTTCCGTTTTGTATTAAAGATTTTCAACTCTATCATTAAATCTCAAATTAGTTTGCACTGACCGACGAAAAGTAATGAGAAGATGATGAATAGCTGGTAGAGGGCCTGCCCGAGGATGTTCTTCATCATGGTGCGTGAGATGAGCGGTTTGGTTCGTCCGTAAGGCTTGCGTTGCAATAAATCAGGTGTCGGCATCTCGGTAGCGAGCGCGAGTGACGCTAGGGTGTCCATTATAAGATTCACCCATAACATTTGTACAGCCTGTCGAATGACAATAAATAAACAAAATCAATATCTGATACTAGCTGAAACGGCAAACGCTGTTTTACTATATAAAGAATCATGTCCACTTTCCATGCATTGATTGACCTGTTGTTATTTTTTGAAAGGTCGCTTCTACCCACCGTTAGTGATAATTTAAAATAGTTTTTGCATAAAATATAATAATATCTTAGCATCTTTTTATTTGGCGGCCAGGGAGATTAGTAATTTGTAAATAATGTTTTGAGGTTATAATAGCTGTCAAAACTTGAAATAGTTGTGAAGCTACATTAAATAATTCAAAAATGTAATTGTGAGTTTCAACTTTTTAAACTTATATAACGAAAGAATATTTTTCCGTAGTAGATGAAACAAAACGTGCCATTCGTATTTTGGGTCTGATTCGCATTGGGGTAGTGTAGCAAATCGTCATTTTAGGGTCCGAATCGCATTCGGGTAGTTATCATAGTACTATTTAAAAATATCAGCCTCGTAATTTTTATATTGATTTTATTTTAAGATTTAATTTCCTGAAATAAGTGATAAATAAGCTACATTTTGAGATATATCACATCACATAATTTTTCAGGTCAAAATTGGACATGATTCTTTCGAGGTGGTATAAATATAAATAACAACCTATTCTCAAACCTACCGAATATAAATATAAATTTCATCAAAATCAGTCAAGCTTTCCGGAGTATGGTAGCTATAACTGTAACTCGAGAATTTTATATATCTTTAAAGCAAACTTTACCTCTTTTTAATCTAAAAAAAAAGAGATAAAGTTTCTAACTTTGTTTGTATCATAAAAATTCTTTCATCTACGGGAAGCTACATAAGCCGGTGTTATCGGATATAATTTATGTCACGGGAAAAGAGCCAATATACTATACCTTAAGCGGACTGTCCTGTATCGCGCAGGCACCAATGAATGCTACTATAACAGCTACAACGTTCACAGTGAGTTGGAACTGGAGGAACTTGGCGATGGAATCGTACACGTTCCTGCCCCACATCACAGCTTTCACGATGGACGAGAAATTGTCGTCCGTTAGGATGATATCGGACGCCTCCTTCGCTACGTCCGTGCCCGCGATACCCTGTTAATAGGAACGATGATGTCAAAACACTTGTATTATGGAAATCTGGAATATATGTATTCTATTCTATTCTAATGAAGGTACAATATCCAAAAGTTCCTTTTTTTACCGGGAATCAGAAAACGACCCTGAAAAATATATTTTCGCACAAATAGATATATACTTATATCACACACAAAGTAGGATTTGGGTTCAATTGGTGATTATGAAAAGAATTATGTTTGGCATCGTAAAGTTTGAGTCATCCTTTTTAGGTGCAGACCCGTTTCACGTGTTGAATGCTACAGACTCTATGATTGCATCTATCTTTAGAGTTAATTATGATCCTTATTATTAAAGAAATAAAGTGTCTCCCCAAAGCAACGGTCACATCAGTCTCTTCGACGTCGGGTTATGATAATTTGGTTAATTTTGGTTTGAAGGTTGCTTTCTTAATTAGCGATTATAAACATATAGCTATGGAGATTAAAAGTGACTATAATTTATTATCATTCACATCAGCGTATTCGTCAGGGCGGTCTCATCATTAATTCTGATATTGCCCAATTTAGTTATAGTTATTCCGTCTTCATTTTAGTCGATAGACCTATCAGTATAGACCAGTGTTTCCAAAACATTGTTATATCATGGCTTGATTAGATAAATAAAAGTACTTTGATGACAGAGCTTTGCTGGTTATTGAAAAAAAAAAACCGAATCCAAGGTCATAAAAGGTAAGAATATAAGGAAAGTTTTATCCCAAGATACCACTTATTATATTAAGTCGGTTACTATATTTTATTTTAAGGTAAACTAGTGTCGAAAACCCAACTTCACATTTATAAACTGTGAGAAAAAAAGGCATTGAAAAAGTTATTGCTTGATGAGTTAACTTCATTTAAACTTAATGAAAATGTTGCAACCTGGTATTTCATTTTGATGGCCCGGTATTAATTGGTAAACACTAGAATAGGTTTCAGAATTGAGTATTTAAAGTTAAGCACGTCTCAAACTGTACTTAAAAGAGAAACAGGTTTTTGTTTTTAGTTATTTTAATGATCAGCTGATAGCAGTTTGATAAAAACTAGAACTTTTTTTGAAAAATAAAAATAAGTCATCGAGAATAATCAGTTGAGATTTTGTACTTTTCTCAATTCAGAGATGTTTATACTCACCATAGCGAATCCCACGTCGGCCTTCTTGAGCGCGGGCCCGTCATTTGTTCCGTCCCCTGTAACAGCGACCACTTCACGGGTATCGAACGCCTTAGACTCTATCATTCCCTTCACTAGTGTGTACTTGTCGGTGGGCGACGATCGCGCTAAAACGCGCAGTTTCGGCCACACTTTATCCAATAGATGCTGTTGAACCTATTAACAATGCATTAACTATTATAGAGGCGAATGTTAAAGGAAAATTTAGAATGTATAATATTGTTTAGAAAGGGACGGCTAGCTGATATAGAACTGTTTGGTAATGCCTTGAGTATACCGGTAGGGCAGAGGCCAACCTAGAACGTTTTAAATGTGGTATCAGTCCTATAAATACGCGGTGGACTACCCGTCCTGATATTCTTTCAGTGACAAGTGAACTGGAAAGAAGAGCGAATAAAAGCGAAATAAGAAGCGAAAACTAGTGAAGTGAATTATCGGGACGATCAAGTAGTGCTGTGAAGTGACAATAATGATGTATATAGTGAAATTGAATGAATTATTTTTTAAAGTAAATTTAATTGACGTTAAATTTTTATCCCGTAACTCGAAATAATAAAATAATGAATTTTAGTAATATATATCTAACATGTTTAAAACTAGCACGGCTTCTCAGGGGTATAATGTTAAAATGTTTTTCAATAGACAGGATTAAAGTTAAAAGTCTAATTTGTGCAACATATTGCCATTAACCCCTGATTTACTATGAGCATGCGCCATTTCTACGTATTGACAATATGTTAAATAAAAGTACTAGTACAATTATAATATTATAATCATCTCACAATGAGCGCAAAAATTCTGCATACCTTTAAAATAAAATTTATATGCCGCGATGTGATTAGCTATAGTGTCATCTAGTCTCAATTGATGAATTAAAATGGCGAGGTAAAGTGGTACGTACCTCTCCGTTTGCGTCCCTGATCCGCCTGTTGAACTCTTTACCCTCTAGTATGAGGAAATCGTCATTTGGTTTCAGTATGCCACACTTGATTGCTATAGATCGCGCCGTATTCACGTTGTCACCGGTCACCATGCGTACTGTTATACCAGCCTTTTGACATTTTCTTATCGCTTCTGGTACCTGTGTTGAAGAATGAGGAGAAAATTAATTCGTCGCCCTTTCCATTAACACCAGTCACTATATTAATATATTGATTTTGTCGCCCCACTTTTTTTCCCATCGTGGACATCTGATCGACTAATCTCACCTCCATTTTCTACTTTAGACCGGACTCTATGTTATGGCATTTGGTCCTATCTACACCGAAATGATCCCGCGTGAGGATAAAGATAGTTAAATAGCTATTGTAATAAAATAAGCCGTTTATTTACCTCGGGTCTTACAGGATCCTCGATACCGACTACGCACAGGCACGTTAGGTTGTTCACAATGTTATCTTCGTCGTCCCAATTCGGCTCTTGGTCTATATGCACCTAAGAATATAAAAAATAATCTCAAATTATAACAAAGGTTCAGCTTCCATTATCAAATAAAATCACTAATACTAGACGTATATTACGAATATAAACTTTATTAAGTTATGTTAAGGTTTCGTATGTGCGTGTATACTTCAATAGGGATGACGACAATTTTTTTTGTCCGTCAGGTAGATTGTTGAAAAATATGTAATAGGTATTTTTATTCCGTAATAATTATATTACGGCGATATATTGTGTTAAAATATCACATGACGTCACGGCTTTGTACATTTTCTACAAAACTGTGACTTTATCGCCTGTCATCTTAATTAATTCTTGTTAAATTGAAGTAAAAAAATACGTCTCTAATGTTTTTCTATTATCTGACTGACGGACTAAATATAATATTCTTTTTTTTCCCCCCTATATATAGCAAAAGAACATTCGCGCAAATACAAAACGTTTCGATAGGCTAAAATTCTATCACGCCTTTCAAAAAATAAATTATTCTGCAAGTAGATCGATCTTTACCTGATTGATGTCAGCCTTCCCGGGCACGAAGTCCCTGAAGGCGATGGACAGAGTTCTCAATCCGTCGCAGGCCATCGGTTCTATCACCTGTCTCACCAGTCTTTCTTGCATATCCCTCGTGAACTTCTCCAGTTTTCCTTCGTGGCCGTATATGAACGCGCATCTGTATAAGTATACGTATAATTATTTCGTACTTGCTTTAAATATACAATTGATAGCCTGATCTAGTAACGGCACCACCGTGTAGATATATTTGAAATTATAAAAAATACGGAATATAATATTTAAAATGATTCAGCTTAGTTAATTATGCATGGTGCCAATTCTCATGTGCCGCTCTCTAAACTAACCTTAAAAAAAATTAAACGTTATTCCATAGTCATACGTAATGAAATAAATTATACACCCCCGTATACTAAACTTAATTATAATTTCTACATAATAAAATATAATAAGTCGATTTTCAAGATTCAATAAAATGAAGACTAACATTAGATACCAGGTTTAAACTACTATCCAACCAAAATAAGTCTTGATGTTTTTCCTTCCTTCATTGTCAATTTGCTGATGGACAATGGTTCAATTTCTAATAAGACGGCTATTGTATACAACAGTTCGACAAGACTGAACCCAAATTAAGTCTAGTTTATGCATTAGAATAGGGATGACGACCAATTATTGTTTGTTTGTCCGTCAGGTAGATTATTGAAGAATAATAAATACTTTTTTTTTGCGTAATCAATAAATTACGGCGATACATCGATTTGAAATGTCGCATGACGTCACGAGCCCCCCCACTCCTCAACTTCAATGCCTATTATCTAAGCTATTTCTTGTTTAAATTTAAGCAAAAAATATACGTATCTAATATCTTTATATTATCGGACTTTTTTTTACCCAGTCGTCATCTCTATTGCTAATATTTTAAGTTAAACGAAAACCTGTCAAAAAGAAAAAGAGAGAACGGTACTAACTTCTTGAGCACTATTTCGGATGCGCCCTTGGTGTATAGCCTGTAACCGCCCTTGTACGGTATGACGGTGGACATGCTCTTGCGCACCGAGTTGAACGTGTAGACGCGCGTGAACGACTCCTCCGGGTGTCTATCGCGCAGCGCGTCGTAACTCTGCCCGAGAGCTAGCACGAACCCGAGAAGCGCGCACTCAGTCTTGTTGCCCACCTGCATGGTAGGCCCTCCGGGGTCTTGTGACGGCTGATAAACAAATACTGAACCGTTCAACGCTGCCCGCAAGGGTCAGTTTACCGTAAAGACACAGTAATAGGGCTTGATATATACTGATGATGAAATACTCTTTATTGTACGCTGGACAAAAATTTGGACACAATAAAATAAACTGTACAATTGGAGGCCTTGTAACAGTAATTTCTTCTGGGCAATCAAATAAATCTATACTAATTTTTAAAAGAGGAAGGATTTGAAATTGAAAAAAAAAAAGTTTCATATGGATTTTAACCTTTCATTCGTAGATATTAACAAAATTGAGCTCCACGCTATCATAAATTTTGGTACATTTCAATTTCGCACGTTTTTCCATGTCATCTATGCTTATAAGCAGATGGCGTTATGGTCTTTGGAATTTTGTCAATGGTGTGCTTGCTATGTGTTAATTATATTTAAAATTATAGTACATAAAATGTATATTAAAGACTCGTCTATTATTTACAAATAATTTGTATCCTTTACCACTCACCATGATTCTTGATGTAAAGGCGCTGTTCAGACTCATTCCCTCGATCATGGTATCACCCACCTCCGACGGAATGTCACGGAAATTAGGCGTCACCTTCGAAACAATGGCGAATTTTCATTATAAATCAATCTGTTAACATGCTAATGAAAGAAAAACCTCTCAAATAAGCTTTTTACAGGCACATTTCAATAGTCCATATTTTTTTTTCTCCATTTTGTATAATATGTATTTTGTCTGACAAGAACGAGCGAAGGTAAACCAGCTCTTGATCAGAAGTAACCATATTTACATCAAGCATGGCATTACCAGAATAGTATATGTATGTATGTAGGCTCAGGCCTTTTTGGAGGAGAATGGACCATGGCCCTTCACGCTGGCGTAATGCGGATTGGAGGGTATGTATAATTTCAAACTGAGTATGTATAATCGTTAAAACAAAATATAGAATACGTTTTTAATCGGTACACAACATATTTTTTTTCTGCAATTTAATTAGTCAATAAAAGTAAAATAGTTTGATATTCGATAATTTGATATTCAAATAAAGAATATTTAGTATATTTGATCAATTTTCCATACACAATGCTATACTGAAAAACATTCTTAATGAAAAATGCTTAAAAATCCACTTTGTCTCTGGCATTCTTGAGATGGGACTCGAACAAATGACATTTCGCAATCAGGGCAACTGCTCTAACCGACGACCAAAGACTGACGAATCTTTCAAGCACTTGTAACTTTTTCGCTACTACAGAGCGCATTCTCATCAATGTTCAGGCAATCGACCCAAAGAGCCGAAAGAAATATTTTTACAAATATTGAAACTTTCGATAAAAATTAATTTATCATTATTTAGAATATTTTTCAGTATGGCATTGTGAATCTAAAATTGATCAAATATAATAATCTTTTACAATTTTGAAATAAAGAGATAAAAACGTTTATTTAATTTTAATTTCAAACTGTTGCCTTGTAAAATTAGCATAGAGTCAGATAATAAGTTTCCTTTGCACGAATGATAAATTAAGTGTCACACCAACACAAGATGTCGTATTTTTATTTGATTTTTCTTGAAAATTACCTTGCACAGTTTCTCGCAGATGTAAGATTGTACGACAGTCATGCGGTTGGTGGTAAGGGTACCAGTCTTATCGGAACATATAGCGGTGGCGTTGCCCATCGTTTCGCACGCGTCCAGATGCCTGACCAAGTTGTTATCTTTCATCATTTTCTGTAAACGAAAATAACAAAAGAATAGATAATTAATTAAACATAAAAGTCTTTACAAATGTCATATTAATACACGATTTTAAACTTAAAAGCAATAGGTTAAAAAGCTATCAAACACATAGTAATTACAATAGATCGAATATTTTTATTTAAAGTTAAACAAGAAGATATTGTGTACTCTAAATATGTCGAAATGGCACTAAATGAGAAAAGCTAATATATTCCATATGCTTAGGTAAATACTCTATTATTTCAAAGACAGAGGTTATGTTACAATGCACCTTTTCCTCCACATTTCTATACTACAAAAGGTTTGGTAAACCATTAACCAAGACTACAGGTCATTAGTAAAAACCATTCCATACTTGGTCCCTTTTTATTTGTTTTTTACTGGTTGCACAAACGTTCATTAAAATTGTCATTAGTTTAAAACTACATTACCCACACAAATTTGCATTTATTAGAACTTAAAAGCGTTATTAAACCTTAACGGACGTTTGTGCAACTGAGCGTTTATGTATAATTTTTAGTCTTTACTAATATAATAAAGAGTACTTAATTGGTTTGTTAGCATCGAATAGGCTTTGAGACCTTATTTAAAAAAAATTTCACCTATTGGAAGTTACATCATACGCGAGTGATATAGACTATACTATACGCAGACGAAGTCGCGTAGTACCAATATTAATATGGGTGCAGATTCTATATCTATCTTAGTCTCACCTTAACGGAGTAAGCGAGAGAGAGAGTGACAGCTAACGGCAACCCTTCAGGCACGGCTACCACGAGTACGGTGACACCAATGATGAGATGTTTCACTAAATTGTTGATGTACACAGCACGCCACGGCTTCCCTTCCACCACGAACGTGTGGATACAGAAGTTTATAATCAGTATTATCACCGTTAGTACTGCGATCGTTGAGCCCGCGTAACCGATCTGGAAGTGGAAACGAAAAAAAATATTTAATTTATCTGAATTACATTACGACACTGGAAAATGTTTCATATTACGTTACCAGTAAGGTATGTTCGTTCGTTTATTTATTTAAATATTTAATTCCTCGGCTTCAAAAAAAGAAAATATCTCGACCGTGTTTCGGAAATCACGAGAAGCTGTTGTTCTCAACTGCACTGCTGCTACATAAATATAAGAGAATAGCTTAGATTCCAAGATAAGAACGAACAAAGAAACTAAGGTACCACAACACCATAGTTCATTTTCTTAATTGATTAAACCAAGAGCCCAGAGATAGTTGGTATGTACACTAGATACCGCGAAACTAACTTGCGAGCCACGACCTTCTACTGGATGTTAACACCTACCGTTTCACACTAGGCCGTTGTGGCCCGAATAGGGATGATGATTGGGTAAAAAAAAAGCGATACTCTATTTAGTCCGTCATTCAGTTAACTGGATAATATTAGACACGTTTTTTTTTTTGGTTCAATTTAACAATAATTAACTTAGATAAAATTAAAAATGTATTAATGTAAAAAAAAATACATTTTGAATACTCGCTAATAATCGTAGACGGACAGACAAACAAATTTAATCGTCATCCCTATTCCCCGTATATCTGTATCAGTAACGACGTAGACCTGTATGGCTAGCTTGGTGAGCTTGGCCTGCAGCACGGACTTCTCCTTCTTGTGCGAGGTGTCTGGCGCTGGCTTGTCCGCGGGCGGCGGCACGTGGTTGTCGGCGCGCGCGTGGTTGGCCCCGTGGCTGTTGCCCGACGCCGCCGCCGGCAACGTCGCGTCCTCATCGCCTGCACGCCGTACAACGTCACGTTACGTCATAACACGTTACGTTATAACACGTCAAGTCATATCACGTGACGTTATTAGTCGAATTAATTTAACCGATAGCATAGAGTTTCGACTTTCACTATTGCTTTGTAATAGCGTAGACTGAATAAATGATATTGATTTGATTCACGCTAAACTATATGGCTTGACGTGATAATTCGTAACACTATATGATTTCACGTAATAACACGTATGTCATATCACGTCTACATCGAATGCTAACCGCACGCCGTGGTACGACAAAAGTGATTTTGGGTCGTTATAGTAATAAATGGAAACCGGTAGCTTGTTTTGCGATATTTCAAATTAGATTCTAACATAAATTACATTTCATATCATTCAATTGTGGTTTACTGAATTTGTTAAAAACCCATCAATTTCATGACCTAATTTATGGACGGTATGAAAAAATTAATGGTTCCGTTGCGACTTACAAAAAAAAAAACGGTTAGCAACATGTGAGTACAAATGTTATTTTGAATATGTTATTATAAATTAATTAGAATATTTTTATTATCTAAAAATACTAATATTATTATCGCAACGTTCAATTAATGAAGTTATATCCATGTTATGATAACTGTCATTATTAACTAATAACTGTTGTTTAATGACTATAAATATCACAACAAACGCTACTAATAAACGATCTTAATATTTAACAATATCAATATCATGATTGCAAACGTCTCCGAAATGAAATGTCTAATTTTTTTTACACCTATGTACTCGATAATAACAAAATTGTAAACTCAAAAGAGATAAATTTAAACTAAAGTCGTACCACAATCGTGTCGGTGAGTGTAATCTTTTAGGAAAAAAATAATAATCATCTACAAATATATTATTATTAAATAATGTGATGTAAAATCAATTGCAGTGACTTTAGAAATTTTTGTTACATCTTAAGTATGCATTTTGAATGCCTAACAACTAAGCTTATATTCACAAGAAAAGATAAATGATTACATAGTATATTAGAAGGGTTTATCTACAGTGAAATCACTACAAATGCAGAAAACTAAAAAACTAATTTAGTAATCGTAATGTTGTATCAGTTAAGCAATCAAAGTGATAAAGAATCATTAGTATCATTAGTAAGGTTTAAGAAGTGTGTTTATAACCATTAGTTAAGACAAATTCTACAGCATTGCAAAAAACTAGTGATTTATCTACTTGATTCGATAGTTTATTTTTACACTTGGTTGATAAGAGTACACTAAAGGGCAGAATAACGGGTACGCTTATGATTTTCCATAAAAAAGCCCATTGCTACAATATTAAGCATAGACAATATTTAATAAATAATATAGGTATTAGATATTAAACTCTGGCCCTCAGTGTACAAGAAAGGGTAGTATAAAGCAGGGCGTAGCAAAGGGATATACATACCACCGGTAAGGCTCTTGCGCTGCGATCCCTTCTTCTGCTGCTTTTTAGCTTCTACTCTCATCGATTTTCGTATTCGATATTTTTTTTCGAATAATAGAAACAGGCATACACATTTATGACAATGATATAGATCGGTTTTTATACATCATGCGGTCAACACGACAGTTACACGATGCAATATCCAATGTGTATGTTGTTTATTTTATTTTTTAATTATTGTTTTATTTTCATCGGCGACATGTAGGTGGGCGTGCAGCAGGCCGGGTCGAGGGTGGAGAAAAAAAAAGTTGGATGTCATTGAACGGATCACACTATATGTTCGATGGCACTAAATCTAAAGGGGTAATACTTCATCGTCGTTCAATCATTTGCGAATTTAGTTATTTAAAGAAAAGGATAATACAATTACTTTGATCGCAAGTGCTTAAACGTATCTACTTAATTGCATTTACAAATGTTTGCTTTTAATGTATAGTTTTTATTAAAGTTTTTGTTTTTTTTTATTATTATGAAACTGATAAGAGATTATTTCTTTTATTGAATTTAAAACAACAAACGTAACATCTATGTCGCTACGAAAAAAATAAAAAAGTTACACGTATCGATGTTTGTCGAACGTGACATGCACGCACAAGACAATGTTCAGGCAATTAATCAATAATGAACATAAAAACGGACACACAATATCGGTATATATTTCAACACATTCTCACTTTAACCTCACATAGTAAATAATACATGGGAGTGTTTATACCAATAAATAAAATAATCTCATCAACGGACGAAACTGGCAAAATCAATATAAAGTTCTGTTTAAAAATCTGCACGTTCGCTTTGGTAATCCAAATGCATAGAACCAAATTTTAGCTCATTCACCAAAGACCCACGAAGGATAGTATGATTTAAACGTAGATGTTAATATTGATATGTTCCAATGGCTCGAGGTTTTAATGTTGTGTAATAAACGAAATCGGGGTAGTGAATTTAGTTTATTACCCAAAAAAACGGCCAAAACCGTTTCATTTTATACTACTTACTATAATTTATATTATAATATCATGATCAAGTATATCCACATTGTTATAACGTATCCAAAGAAAAGTCGTAAATACTTAAAGAGAAATATTTCCTTGTTCTAACACGTGGAAAGAATGCCGGGTAAAAGAACAACCAAACTGACGATGAAATGGACCAAGTGCTATTGGAAGATGATTTTAGAAGCATGTATGAAAAGAGTAATCCACGTCAAAACAAATGTTCTCTTGCCTTGTAGTGATCGGTCCTCTCTGCCTACCCCGGAACTAATCCAGCGTGAATATATAGTTAGATAACTAAATTAGCAGAAGAATTGGGGAAATAGGAAATAATTCTTCCATAAGGTGATATTATGTTTATATGGCATTGAAAACAATACTGATATTAAAACTAAGACTGAATTTCTCACATTAATATCATATTCGTAAACGCACAAATGAAATATCTGCCATTCAATATAATTTTGCCAATTTCGTCTACAAACTGTATCAGAGTAGGGGGTGCGGTGTTCCCTGGTGGGGAAGGATTGAGGGGGAACTCCATACATCACTAGCGCTAAATATGCAAACAAGCATACAGTCGTACTATGCTCATTTAGAAAACCCGATATATTTTAGGTAAGCTGTTAATATAAATAGTGCGATTAATTATCACAGCATCTAAATATTACTATTAATAGTTGCTTTTATAAATGACTCTAAACTAAAGTAAAAAACCAAATGTCTGTCTTGTTATCTCCGTGAACTTAAGACGACTACACTGAGCCGTTAGATAGCGGTGGCATCATATAATCGTATTCATTTATTACGTAAGATAATTTCGGGGTTTGGGTTGAAGATGTATTACTTTTTTCTTACAAATAATTCTTGAAGATACTAATAAAGGTCATAAGTACACACTTACTGGGCACAATTCCAACCTAGCGATTTACTTTCCATTTAAATTTGAGTCAATATAGAAAAGTCAATGGCAGCAGCCAATTTCATTTTTTTATATTGACGTAAGGAAGTGTATTATATACAGACGATTTAATACTTATGGAAAATAAATCGTCGGGTTGACGCCATGCCCTGTAAGTGTGCTATGATCCTTATCAGTAATTTGCAAATATAATACCAAATACTAATAGAATAGTTTGTAATTTATTAATCTTAAACTGGCAAAACCGTCTCACGTAATAAATAAAACGCCAGAGCGCTCAATTTTCTTCACAAAAAGTGTTCAAAGTTACTTAGCAAGGCAATAACTTTCTATGATGAAAAACGATTACGGCTATATGACGCCACCGCTATTTTAAAGGTTTATATTAAAAACTGCTTGGCTGCAGACAATGTTAGACACATTACAATAAATCGTGTGTCAAATATAGTTGTTATATATCCACGTCATGGTTTTTTACGCAAGTATCGACCATATTAAAACACGTTAAGGTCGATACTTCAAAACTCGAAAGCTTTTCCAGCGATTCAGCGCACGATATCTAAAGCTGATGGTCTCTATCGTAATCTATGACTAAATGAGCAAAGTATGCGACAACGCCAACTATAGTTTGCGGGATATACTAAGAGCGTGCATTTTCTGATAGTTTTATACATTTTCATTTATATTTTAATGTTTCTTTGTTTGTAGGGGGTATTCTTAGGGAAAACTGATCGATCATAAAAAAACTTTCAGTATGGGAAGCTACAGAACTGGCTGGTGACATAAGCTATAATTTATGCGGCCGAAGTCGCAAGAGAACAGCTAGTTGTGTTGCCAAGATAACTCCGTTTTGTTTATTTATTAAAATATGAATTAAGGTTACCTAATGAACAATAAGCGGCTGATTATAGTTTATTTGATATAATTTTTCCCTAACACTATCTTTCTAGGACATCTTGATCGATGGATTTATCGATTGTATTTATCGTTATATAACATATTTACCGGATCATATATATACGTGGAAAGTATAATAACAGGTTAACAATCATCATTACTTCTATAAAATTATCAAATTAAAATCAACTAAAAATCGAATTAGTTATAAGATTTAAATCTATTTTATCGAACTGTGTCACCTCTAAATATCGTTATAAATTATGGCACAGCTTTATCTACCTACATAAATAAAAATAATTACTCAATGAGTTGTTCTCGACCAGAGTAGAAATTTTGAAGTTGCTTATAAAGCTAAATTCGAGAACGAACGCAGCGCTGTTGTAAACTTGAATGGAATAAAACTTTTATTATAAAATCTACTTAATTTTATTTCATTGAAGTAAAATCTTTGGGCTCTAGGCTGTTATTATAACAGCACAGCACTGCTGATGACCGTTGCTAAATACTAAAAATATTCAAAGGCGATACGAATTTCGCTAGATCAACTAGTAATCTAACAATCTAATACTTGTTTTTTCAAGAGGAAAGATATTTTTGTTTGTTAAACAAACTAAATAACTACTAGACCGTTATAATAAATCTTTTACCTACAGGACCTCATAAAGTGTACACAGGTTATAGTTTACGCGCTCGGGTAAAAACGGGTAAGATTTACTATCAGATTTTACTATCAGAAAATGCAGCACGTTCTAAAGAGGGGGGTCTAACTACGGTAGCGTTAGAGCGAGACAACACTGACCTTTCTTCATTTGCTTTATCTCTTTGTCCTGTTTCTCAACAGCTGCGCCAAGAAGCGTGAATATTATACCGGCTTGTGAGTTAACGCCGACAGCTGTTACCAACATTTTGCCTGAACCTGGAATAAACATTTTAAACTTTTAAGTGCAAATTTATTATTAAAACACGCCAACGGTGCACATATATAAAATTTTAAATAATATAGCCTTTATGGAAATATAAGTATAAAATTTTAAATATTATAGACTTTATGGAAGTCTGTATTATTTAAAATTTTATATATGTGCACCGTTTTTTCCTGTAATTTCTAGGACTGCGGTATTTTAAAGTTAAATTTAAATTAGGAGCTTATTTTAATTTAAGAAATATGTACGTTGACGTTACATAGTGCAGTTTGGATATATTACTTCAGTAGAACTAACCTTCCATAACGTGAGTACCGGATAGCACCATGGGATCAAATGATTCACCCTTTTTGACATGGTCTGATTCGCCTGTCAACGAAGATTCATCGATCTGTAAATAAATAGATATATAATAACATATACATTGTTTGGATCTCATGGCTCGTTTATTCTGGTAAAAGCCGTCCAAACTACTCACCCCGCGTATGAGTAGTTTGGGCGGCTTTTTCGGGCTTATTTTTTATCATCATCATCAGTCAAATGATAAGGCACGGATCTTCCATGTAGATTTAAATAGGGAGGATGAGCCATGACAGTACGGTTTAGGTATTAACGACAGCAGACGCAGAAGTGACCAATGAGTTACCATGCCTACTGAAGCACGGAGCACGAGGTAATGATTTATTGATAATTTGGACTGGCCTTTGAAAAGTTATTTTTTTCCGCAACTCAGATCGAACGCGCTAAATACTGCGCTATCTAGCTCATTTGATCCACGAAAATGAGCCCCAAAAGTTACCCGTGTACAGCATGCAAGGCCCGACCGATGTAAACCAGCAACAAATTTGACTTACAACGGCCATCTGTGTTAGTAAATGTTTTGATTAAACATTTTTATCATTATATCAGGGGTAATGTCAACTTTTATACGACTTGAAGAGCTTCAATTGACATAAAGAAGTTCTTCACTATCTCAATACAACTAAATGAAAGCAAATAGCCCCATTAATTTCATTTAAACACAGATAAAATGTGCAAATAATATGAATCAGACAAACATTTTGAAATCAGGCAATTAAAAAATGTTCTTCAACGATAAAAAGAAGAAGTGGTAAATATGAGTGCTGTGTTCGTTATGTATGAACTATATAACGTAAGGCTATGTTCACACGTTACTGCATTCTATCTGTAAAGATTCATAGGCGGAATTGTTTATACAATAAATCTTCATTCACCCGAGATCTGCCTTACCTCCCTCTCTACTGTTATCGTGGCTAAATCATTTTCTGTAAGAGTGATCAAATTATGAACTGCCTGTTCTCCCTGAACTTGCACTCTATCTATTGCTTCTCTAAACTATTTTTCGATAAGTAATTTCCCTCTAGTGTTTCCCTCGACTGTCCCCATAAAATTCAATTAGCGATGGCGTTGATGTTACCTGCATTATTGATATACGATAAACCAATAAACTGCGCTATCGACAGGTTATCAGCCCTATCTGTGTGACGCACGGGCTATTTACAAATCTGATAAGCGGCAAATATAGAAATTATTGCTACCTGTCAAAGATTACCTGTATATATTATATTTATGCACGTTTATTTATACGTTAGTTTATTGCCCCTGTTATGGCGGCCGAGTTGTGTAAGCCAATTCCAATTTACAACAGGGTTGTCAAAATTGACTTTTATTTATTTTTATAATAATAGTAATATAATGACGACAAATCTTACGAATAGCGTCAAATTAAAATATAATTAAAAGTAACGCAGTATGTTGCAATGCAACAAATTAGTGGAAATAGAGACGTTCAATTGGACAGCTAGGCTTACAACTGGCGGTATTCAATTAAAGGACCAGCCGTAAAGTTAAGTGGCTATGTTCATCAGTCGCCTAGGACATTATTGCCTAGAAATTGTATTAAATTACCCTATGACCTAGTAATAAGCGTGTTGCAGTATCATATTGCATTATAGCACTTTTTGTCTGCGATGCGGAAGTTGAGCATCTTACGCAAGGGCCAATCATGGAATGGTTGACAAAAAATTTACTATATCGGGCTTCTCCTGGCTTAGGAAGGTACGTTAAGAAGTAGGTCCTGACTGCATCTGCAGTTGTTAACACCCACCAAATCACACTGCGTGTTGGTTTATTGCCTACTTGTTCAATTTAATTCCATACATAAGGAAAGCCTGTGCCACAGGGGACAATAATACGATAATTACTCAATTATAGTGATTTATGTATTTATGTAGGTACCTTGAGATCGTTGCTTTGCAACAGTAACCCGTCAGCCGGCAGCAAATCACCATATTTTATCTGGCAGATGTCCCCGACGACTATCTCGCTTATGGGTATCTGCTTCACCTCGCCACCCCGGATCACGGCAAACTTGTGTTCGCCTTCTATCCGGGATTGCAAACCTCTGCGAAATTGTAATAAGACTCTTTTAATATAAGAATAAAACAACACTATTTCGGCTGTAAAGGTGCTAGCATAGCTAACATAACCGAAGGAATCGGATATCATTAATTTTCTTTACACCTTGCAAATGAATGTGATGCTAAAATTTCATTCTGTAGCCTCTTTCCTCTTATTCCATAGAAACGGATACATATGCTTTCATCTTTATTTATTTTGAAACAACATCTTCATCATCGATATATACAGTTCTTCAGATTTTACACGCACAGGACATGTTTTGTAATCTTCACTTCACATAGAAAAGAATATATTATCAATCTCAAACACAATCAACTAACCTGAATTGTCTTTCTTTTGTGTAATCGTTGAACGCTGTGACTATTACGACGACGATGACGGAGATTAAGATCGCCAGACCTTCGATCCATTGGTAGTGGCCTTCTTCTTCATCGAGATGTGCTGGAAAATATAATAGGCCATCAATCAGAGCAATGGTCTAGCAGAGAAACATAAGAGTATATGTAATGATGAAATCATAATGAAGTAAGCGCAAGCACTGTCAAAACTTAAAACTACAATGATAATGAAATACTAGAACAAGAAGAAATAGCTGCTACATATAAATACAGTCAAGTCTGAGGTTACGAAAACTTGGCGTATGGATAATTATAAACAAAAGTTCCCTTATTAGATAGTCTAGCAGTCTAGAAAAGAAGAATAGCGCATCATCTTTTACTGCTCTAATAATTTAAGCTTATTTGCTTTCATGTTTTGCGTTTTTCGTATCAGGTAGACTACTTATCTATCCATAGACGCAGATAATGGTTATTGGAAATCCAATAGCAACAATGTTAAAAAGTTTGACCTATAAGTACACAATATAAAAACAATTTTATCTAAAAATGGGTAGTGCTATATTAATGATGATATCAACACTTATTAATAATACGAATTCAGGTTATAAGAGACAACAACATGCACTTTCAAACATATGATAAATATAAAACGTTATTAAAATCACGACAATATTATACGCTAATGAAAATAACAGAAAACAATATATCAGTTAAATTATATGCATAAAATTCATGCACAATTTTTCCCTCTCATATTATATACGAAGGAGACAAATAGTGTCACATGACAGTTCAAGTGGAGATATCGGTCGATAAACTTCCGAATAACGATATGATGAATATAATTATAACAATACCGTTCCAGATATATCCAGATTAGCTGGCTAATCGTTTCAAGTGGCAGCTGACCTTAGTTTAGTTACAATTGAACTCTATGTCAGCCACCACAACGCATCCAATCTATGGAGTAATATAATTCATTAACTACTAATTATTAAAAGCTTTTTCTAAATGATTGTGACTTCATTATAAATGAAGATTTGATTATCAGAAATAGCCATTAGAGCAAACCAACATTTTAAAATTACTCAAGCGTTTGAATAGAACACAAATATTATTCGATGTCAAATTAAATGGAACGTTTAAAACCAAACGAATAATAATGCTCCATTAGCAGATCTAGTTGATCGATTACTATGCACTAACGTTAAGTCCGACCCACTGAATACGAATATCTCACAATATGATTGTAATCTATCCAGTCCAATGAAATTGGTTCGATTACATCCACCTACTTAAATAGTTTCCCTTGCCACTGACACCGTTCCTGTCACATTAGTAATTTAAAAATTGACAAGTAGGTAAGTGTTTAAACAAAAAGCTTTCACGGGACATCTAAAATTGTTGGTGACATACAGCATATAAGCGGACGGCAAAACAAACCTATGACGTAACAAACATTGGGACGTCGGGTTACTTGGGGGTGCATAAACTACTGTACTCAAGGTTATTGCGCAACTAAATCAATATAATAGATATGTCGGAACACCATGGTCTTTATCGTAGCAATCTAAAACATATCATCAAAATATTCATAGAACTAGTAGGGTTATAGTTCATACGTGTTTACAAACAACCATGGTGTAGACACGATAAAACTTCCAAATCAAATATCTACAACAAACATGATCGATTTAGTTGCAAATACATTTTGTGATTTATTTGAAAACTAAAAATTTACATTATATGCGTTTAATCTTGAGTACCAATTCTAGGAAAACGAGTACAAGTGTCATAATAATAATTATTATTTACATATTCTTACCAGGATCGTCTAATGATTCCATATCGTTAAAGAAAAGAGAAAATTAATTGATTAATTACATTATACTCCTCTGTTAGCGACTGTCCCTTTGTGAAAAGATCACACTGGATATTTAGATGAAACTATTTCTAATTCTATATCTACAAGTACTAATTTTATTGACAACATTTTTAATGATAGTAATTTGGTGCTAAACATTTTTGAAACAAATTTTGATGCAACGCCAATGAGTACTATACCAATTGAAATATTTCACATTGACAAATGTATAAAGCTCGGGTGTAATATTAGTAAATGTATAATAGAACGACAGTTTGTCCCATTCTGAACTAAACAAGTCACTATGTACTTACCGCTGATGAAGATTTCATAGTATAGGTCTGATTTTGTAAAATACCTTACGCTTTCACTTTTATTGGAAGTCACTTTTCTGTGGTTATTAATATAGGAAGTGAAGAGGCTTACAAAATCATGCCCGACGTAATTCAGTTAGATATCGATCATGGCACGTGACTAGCACACATGAACTGCGAGGGAGCAACATCAAAAGCCCAAGGCTGAATAATTCAGAATGGGAGCTCCCATAAAAATTTCGGATACGTCAATATTTCACTTTGAATAGTGCGGCAATATATTATTGTGGGCAAGACGAGACTATGATGTTAGAATATAACGATTGTAATTACAATGTGAATTAGTTAATATGAAACTTTACAGGTGATTTGGATAAAAGTAACGTCTGTGGGAGAAATGTCTTCGTCGTTTTCTTTGACACTAAATTAATATCGATATTCGAACTAAAGATCTTCAATTCACCTTGGAGAATTTTATCGATAGGAATGAAAAACAATCTAAAGTCTGTCCAAGGAAACAAACAACTATTCCTATGCGTTTCCACAAAACATGCCAATAGTAAATATCTCACCAGAGTCGCTGGGATCTTCCGGTGGCTTGTAGAAACTCAACCCTAATGAGACCACGGCGGCCACTTCGAGGATGATAAGGGTAACGTCCTGCAACGCCTCCCAGACCAGAGTGAGAAAGGTCTTGGGGGGTTTGGGCGGGATTAGATTCGAGCCGAAAACTTCTCGCCTGTGTTGTAGGTCCGCCTTCGAACCGCTAAGACCTGTGGACAATGGAAAAATAATATATGAATACTATTATACACCGGAAGAAGTCGTGGCCCCGAAATATCAGAAGCTACGTATCATAATAATGTTTAAGTGTCATTAATTTCTATAGAGTACTATTATTTTTTTACTAAGGCGATATCAAAGCCGGATCTTCGTCAGGAACCTTTCCTCTATTTAATTACAAATCAGCGATTATATCTTTTTTTCTTAGGATTCAAGTGGAATTTGTTATTATACTTAGTAATAATCTAAGTTTATTCATAAAAATGTTGATATAATATAATTTTACCGAGATTTATGTGTTTGATTTTCATTTATAGACGGTATCATTAATGGATCCAATAGGACATTAATAAGTTGATACCTAACATAGCGTGGTCATGTAGCAGCAATGAAATAGCTGTTTCAGCAAAAGTTTTCAATAGATTAACATTTTTTGTATCAAATAAGATACACACTAATTATAACTAAAAATATGTATTATACTTGTACGTATTCATCAACGATATAAGTAAAATGTTATCCAGAAAATAGGGGCTTATTCTTAAAATTTAATCAAAGAATACAAATTACGTGTTCTTGTTTTAAAATTGGTCCCGTTTGATCATTCCCTAGCGTCGTTCAGCTAATTCGACATAATTTATGCTACCCTAGTGATACTGTTGGTTAAACAGTCGCAACGGTCTCTCAAAGCCAGCTTTGTTTTGGAGAGTTAACGTTAAAAAAGCGTAGATTTACAACAGTCCCTAAGACACTACAAGAAAAGAACCGTTCCAATAATACAAACAAACATCTTATAACGTTTGAAGTTTCTCAATGCATGTTCGTTACTAATATTTGAAGTGGATCTATTTCTGCTCTCGCCTGTTTCCACCTTTTGAAATTGAACTTTCGCACCTTTGTGCTAAGTTACATTTTACGTAGAAAGGTCAAATTGTGAAGTGACTTGGACGAGTAGATAATAAAGTTCATACTAGACGTACGCACGTTCCATTCATAATAATATACGAGCTAAAACTTTAGCGATAAAATTACACTAAAATTTTGATTTGTAAAATGAAACGATTTGTTGAGTGATCAAATAAGCGTTATTTATTTTGAACTAGATGTTTTCTCGCGTAAATTATAGCATACGTTACCCGCATACGATGTAGCCTCCCGTAGGAGATAGAATTTTTAAAATCTGTCCAGTATATTCAGTCCATTTTTAAATAGGTATTGACAAACAAACAAACACTCGATAGTTTGTGGAGAGAAATAAATCTTTCTATTATTATTGTTATCTCTTTATAATCTATACATATATAAAAGGAGGTGTCCTGACATACTGACTGCCAGACAACACAGCTTAAACCATTGGTTAGTTTGTATAAAAGTTCATTGTCAAAATATTTGTTTTAGCATTTTTAGAAATGCTGTCCAAATTTACTATTCCACGCAGACAAAGTTGCGTGCAGAAACTAGTTTTAGTATAGATAAAGAGATAAACTCAAAATTAATCATAAAACATTATTTTCTAATTAATCGAAAACCAGTTCGATTTTTGTGAAAGTGCTCATGTCAAGTGATGTATTTACCATGTTTCAGTTTTAAAATTAGAATAGCGTTAAAAACAAACTATGTTGAAACTTAGAGATAACTTTTAGAGAAGCGCCGAATAACCGATAACCGAATAATATTCTGTTTGAGCTCAATCGAACCGGATTATCGGCCGAATAATACGCAACAGACTCCTACCGAAGAAGGCCCAGAGTTTGATGTGTATGTTCCATAATTGACTATTAATTAATTATAAATATTAGAATTTGTATGTTTATCTTTACTTTTATCTTATTAAACTATTTTTAAAGTCTCTATTTTTGTCAATTTGCCACTTTAAATTGTTAAGTATTCATTAACAATTTAAAACGTTAATTTGAAGTTTAAATATGTTGACTATAGTTCATAACGTTCGATATGCTTCATTTCAATAAAACATAAATCTTACAAAAGAAGTTTGTCTTTTAATTCTATTCCGTGATATGTAGCCAAGAAAATATAAGTACTTAAACCGAATGCCAAAACCGAAAAATTCAGCCGAATACAAATAGTGAAAAAGTTGCCAAATACCGAATATCAAAGGAATCGAACACTAATTTGAGAATAAATATAAAAAAAGCAGAAAACACCTATTGCTCATAGCAGCCGCCATTCTAATTACTATTATTACAAGTTGAAAGAATTCAAATACTACATTATACAGCTCGTACAAATCTAATTTAATCAAAAGCAAAGCAATTTATCAGCACAAGGCCAAGTAAAATACTCCAACATATAAAACTCTTAACAAACTATCTATCAATGGCTGAGAATTCACGCGGTATTGCAAAGGTGCCTATTATCAAAGTTCCGAATTCAATAAAAAATTAATGACGTTTTATTTACAGTAAAAAAAAAATAAACTTTTAAATATTTCTAGCGTACCACGCACAGAGACTAACATGCACCTGTTGAATGATATTTGTCAATAACAATTACTTGACATTCTTTATTCGCGTGACTGTGGTGCAGGGCTTCAATTTCTTAGTAGCATCAATTTAGGTAATTTAGATGGTTTCTCTTTATTTAGGTAAGTAATTAAAATATATACTTGAAAGTAATGGAAAATACTACCCAATTTTTCATTTTGTAAACTTTTCTAAGTTATTAAATTTAATAAAGTTACTCTGGAACGATAGTAGAATCCTTACGGATTCTTTACTGAGACAAAGGACCTTCAAAAATTGGAATATTTAAAAAAAATGACTTGTTTATTTTTTGTGTTATCTATAAGATTCATATGTATATTGTATAAACGATAGTTTCTTATTATTAAAGAATTCCAGAGTGGAAGACAAAATAAATAATTAGTAGCATTTATGTAGTTTATTATATTTACGAGTATTATATAAAAAAATTACATTACGTTTTATTTATGATATCAATTAGATACAGTAAATATTTTTTATCGATAATCGAGAACCTGCAATAGACCCCCTCGGTGACTCACTGTTTTACGTTAAGCTCACCTGATAATATGCGCTTGCGTTGCTTACGTCATTGCCACATAATTATTTATGACATCTCGTGAATAGTCTAAACGTACCTACATACATTCAAAATATTGAATTCATTTACGCCAGAGTAACTGAGAGACGTGACCGCAATTTTATCGTATCGATATTTTTACGGATTACACATCGACACTTCAAATAAGTGTACAACTCAGGTGGTGACTAACATTGTCGTTTTTTTTTGTTATTACATAAACACATAAAAATCTTTATTCTGTACTCTTTTAGCGGATTATAAACAAATGTTATTTCTGTGTACACTTCACGTATAAAAAGAAGAATGAAAAGCGGTTTATCGGCAATAAATCGACAGAACGGCTCGCACGGGTGAGCAAACTTCGTGATAAAATTACACATGTAATAAAATTAAAATACACATACACACATAAATGACTTAGGTAACAGAATCCTTGGTGCCAATCATTGCAAATGTTTGAACAATAAATAATTTGTGTAGGGCAAACACGTATTTATGACTCCGTGTTATCTTACACGGTCCAGTAATTTCAAGGAGATTTCTGACAGGGACGCAATAAGGGTCGTGGACAATAATTAGTAGAATTTGTTTATTGGTTATAAAATTACAGAATTAACTCCATGATCAAGCTGGAGTAACTAGCATTATACTGGTCACATCACACTCCTTGACATGCAAATCAGACGCAATTTAGACATCGAGATGCAGAGACGCTCGTAGTAGGTATTCAAAAGGGGTAACAAACAAGAATATATGATCGTTCGCTTCTAAATTATACTGTAATGATTGAACTGATAAATGCAATATGTAATACATATAAAAATAACCCGGAATAAAACATCTTTTCCTGCTAAGAATTTGAAGCCCCTATTGAGTGACTAGCTTTGTAGTAGTCCACTTAAATAACTCAACCAAAAATATATTTGATTAATCGGTTTAAGTATTTAGTGATCGCCATTAATTGCTTCAACTTAAAAGTTATTACTTCTAAATACACGAAAAGTCCTGTTAAGTCACGAAGTATTACAACTTAAATTATGTGTCCACCCACATGATAGTTAAAAAGTACGTACATATAGAAGTACCAACGCATAACGTCGAACAAATCAACATTATACTTGGTGTGTCCTTGGCCTTGCATTTACGATACGCCCGAGGCCGTAAAGGGTCGGTCACACTAGACCGCATGTAAAAAAAAAATATAAACTACGTAAAAAGAAGCAATATTCAAGCGTCTGTGCTTAGAAAAGCGCACTGTGCTCGATGGTTTATGGCGAAAAGGCGGTAGGGTAATTTAATAACTAACAGTTTAACTGTACACACTTACCATTATATACCAAAAGAATTTTTAGCCGCTTATGTATGGTCTACAAGAGTACTAATCTATACAAATCTCAAATTTCTTTGCTAGAATTGATCGCAGAAATTGTGTGATCTTGTGTGTAACAACTCACAAAATACGCACTATATTTTTAACAGACTTCAAAAGATGTTATTAATTTGACTGAATGGTCTAAATTACTTTTTATATCACATTTTTTTTTATTTATATCGAAAGATTTTATTGTCATATGTGCGATTGCTCTAGAAGTCTAGTATTTTATATGTTGTGTCCAAGTGTGGAAGAGTCTTGATGTGAAATGGAATGGAACAGCTTCCATACTTTTCACTGATGTACAGAGCAATTTGTTACACGGTAAAATGTCGCCTTTTTATCTTGGCACATGACGGATATAACCGGTGAACCCTCGAGCGGAAGGTATTATTAAGTGTTGTTTTAGAAATAGCAATAATACACGTAGATATATAAAATCATTTTTCACGTTAATAAATTATTAAGCGACCGTGCCACGATACCTTTGTCAAGCGTTTGCGAAAATATGGTGGTTTTTAAGATAAGAAATAGAAGTAATTCTTAAAAATA